TGATCTAGCAATCCTACTTCTGAGTATTTACCCAAAGGACAGGAGAAAGTGCAATCAGAAAAGCCCTTTGCACATCAATGTTTACTGTAGTATTATTCATGATTGCAGAGACATGGAACCAACCCAACTGTCCACAAAATGATGAATGGGTTGAAAAAGTGTGGCATATATATTCTATGGAATACTACTCAGTCATAAAAAAACGAGAAGACCCTGGCATTTCATTGAAAGTGGTCAGATATGGAGGATCTATTGCTGAGTGAAGCAAGCCAGGATATGAAAGAAAGATATTGTATGTATCCACTTAATATACACTGACTATCCACACTTTGTGGTAGAGATCGAAATATTGGAGGGCATAAAAGCAGTGAAAATAGTAATGATGAAGGCTGTGTGTAATGTGGTAGGAGAAGAGAATAGTATGGAGAAGGATAGCAAGAGAATAAATAGGCAGCATGACATTAGTGGGACACAGAAATAGCTTATTACCATTGATGATGACGTGTATACTATTTTCAACTAGACTGGTCTGAGAAGTATTTCATGTTGGGTAAAGTCTTTTTACAAGCAAAATTTTAAATAGTGATTGAATGTTTGAAAAATAATTTGAATAATAATAATAATAACCTAGAAAAATAATGAAAAGCTATGCAGCATGACATTAGTGGGACACAGAAATAGCTTATTACCATTGATGATGACGTGTATACTATTTTCAACTAGACTGGTCTGAGAAGTATTTCATGTTGGGTAAAGTCTTTTTACAAGCAAAATTTTAAATAGTGATTGAATGTTTGAAAAATAATTTGAATAATAATAATAATAACCTAGAAAAATAATGAAAAGCTATTTGATGATGTTGATGGGGATTTTAATGTCTTTGTATTGACTGATATGCATGGTATTCCTTCGGGAAGAAGAAATGTAATACACTGTAAAGTTATTAGTGATTCAATGGAATATAAACAAGATTATAATAATAATAAAATTAAAAATAATAATAAAAAAGAGAAAAAAGTCCTTAACATAGTAACTGTTTAGTCAATTTTCTGATTGAGAATTTTAAAAATGTCATTGTTTTTCTGAGAACTTGAAAAATGTTACTCTGAATATGGATCTAATCAAATAGTCCCATTTGATTAATATATCTCTTAGGTACTTTTTTTTTCAACTTATGGGTAGCCCTTTCTCTATTTTTTCTTACAAGTTGTTTGCTGAAGAAATAAAGTTGTTTATTTATAGAACTTCCCATAGTCTGGATTTGGTTGGTTGTATGCTTGTGGCATCATTTAGTATGGAATTCGTGACTTGGGTGCTAGAAAATAACAATAACACTAATTGTAAACTCCAATTGATGGCTTACTATATGCCAGGCTGTGTACTTAGTACTTTATTTGTAATAACATGTTTTATCTCATTAAAATCTAGTGTGTACATAGTAACTACAATTATGGTATGTTATATTTGATTTTTCTATTATGTAAATTTTAAATAGTAAAAAGTCCTATTTTATATATACAATCTGAAATAATTCAAATAACACAAATAATAAGTTTTTAAAGGTCACATAATTTAAAATGATGAAGACTGATTGGGACCAGCAGTTAGCGTAATGGCTATGTCGCTGGACTCCCATGTAGTCGACCGCGGTTTGAGTCCTGGACCCAGTGACTTAAAACTCATGCCAGGCGTGTGCGTGCATGCCCAAGATCCTGAGAGGAGAATGGAGGAGAAGGGATTGTGGCGTGGCCATACCCCCTGGGGGGTAATTTCTCACTTTCTGTCTCTCTGTCTCTCTCTGTCTGTCTGGCGAGCGCATGCACCCTATAGCAAAAACCTCTTCAAAAAAAAAAAAAAAGATGAAGACTGATTTCCAATTTCATTTATACTAATGTTTCACATTGTTTACACTTTTTCCCCCCCAGGTTTTTGTCATAAGGCACATCTGTTCCCTGGACAAATCACCCCCAGTGGATGACCAAATCAAAGTTCTTTTTTTTTCTATTCTCCTCTTGGGATTTTGGGTATGCACATAGACGTGCCTAGCATGATTTTTCAATCCACTGTGTTCAGGACTTGAACCACAGTTGACCATGTGGGAATTCAGCACATTAACCATCATGCCTTCAACCTGCCCTTGATTGCACTTTTTACTTTCAGCTGATAAAATAATGTTTATTTCTATTTCTTTGGTTTAATTTTAATTCTGCTATTTAACAATTATATGAAGATTTTTATCAATGCATTCTTTTAATAAAATACAACTACCAAATGAAGAAAAAAAGATTGTGGCATGACAATCACTTATAGTGGGTGGTTTTCCACTTACTCTCTGTCTCACATATGTGTCCTCTAGCAAATTAAAAAAAAAAATGCAACTACCTTTAAATTTCCTCTCCTCGTTATGTTTTGTGTAAGGAGTCTGTGTTCATTAATTTCATGTGTCAACATTAGTGTGTCATATGGTGCCCAGATATCTGGTCAAGGATACTCAGGATGGGTTATTCCAAGGGAATACATTTTTATAATATTAATGTTATTTAAATTGGTAGACTTAAGAGTAATGCAGATTGCTCTCAGAAATGTGGGTAGGCTTCGTCTAATCAATTGAAGTTTTAGATAGAACAAAAAGATCAATTCTCCCTCCCCTAAGCAAAACAAGTTTTTCTCTAGGAGAGGCCTTTGTACTCCAACTGGGACATCAGCCTTTCTTGCCTTTGGGCTAAAACTGGGACATCAGTTCTTCCTGGGTCTTGTATCTGACAGCGTTCACAATGGAACCAGACCATCAGCTCTTCTTGTTGCCAACTTGCCAACTCCCCCTGCTAATTTTGAAACTTGCTAGGTTTCATTATCACAAGTCAACTCTTAGAAATTTCTCTCTAACCCTCTCTCCACCAGTGTGTGTGTGTGTGTGTGTGTGTGTGTGCGCACACGCAGTGTATTAGTTGTTAGTTACTTAATGCAGTATATACTTTGGATTTTTTACCCAACGTTTTAGTTTTTCAATTACATTGTAAGGGCTTTGACCATGGCCTGGTAGTTAAAGTAACTAGATCCCACATGACTGGCAGTATTGTTCAAGTCCTAGACCTGCTGGTTTGATAAACATACGGAGCATGTGTATTTGCATGCCTAATATCCTGAAAAGAGGGAGGAGAAGGAATCGCGGCATGACTGTTCCCCATGGGGAGAGGAGCTTTCTTCTCTCTCTCTGTCTCTCACCAGCAATTGTGCTCTTTAAGCACAAAAACAGACAAACAAAACCTTAAAACTCAAAAACCAAAAACATTATAAGCTCACTGATGCAGGCATTGACAGGGACAGCCTTCATACATTTTAGAGCTGTAACTGAACACCATGCTAGATGCAATATATAGACTGAGAAGTTATGGCTGAAAACCTGAGGCAGCATGTAAAAGGTTGTTTTTTTTTTTTTTTTTTTCCAGATGGGCAGAGAGACTGTTTATTAGCACTGCACAGGACAGACACGTGGGCGGACCGTCACTGTCCCACCCAGCCCCAGCGGTGAGTCAGGAGTTACATGGAAAATTGACTCTGATTCACTGTCAAGAGTGGGAATTTAGATTCAGGAGAGCCAGAGAATTTCATTTGTTAATCCATTTCTCCTGCTAGGGTTTCCACTAAGAGACAGCAAATCAAGTGAAGGACACAGCACCCATAGCAGCTACCTTATCATATCAGTTTTGTTCCTTTTAGTATTTCTCTCTCATATGCTCATGCATTCCTTAGCCAAAAGGGGAGAATGACAGGGGCCTGGGTATATTTTGCAGCTCTCTAGGTCTTACAGGGATGCATAAGGTACTTAGTGAGGCTGAATCCCTTCTTTACCTAGAAGTTTCTACTTATTCTATTGTCTCAAATGTACTTTGGTGGCACGCAATAATGTATGTATTTATGTAGTAAGGCTGCAAATAAAAAGTAAATCCACTTATTCCTCTGTTCCTAGGCCCCTAAATATATCTGTGGTTTCCACCCTCATTCCTTGGTAGCTATAATCATTTTCTTATTCTATTGTTTTTCTGACTTCCACTCAGATTTTTATGTCCTCAGGGGTGAGGAGGGAAGAAAAAAGCTTCTACCACCCACTTTCTTCACAAATTTTAAATTTTGGGAACAACTTTTGATGATTGGTACTTTTGAAATTCAAAATTTCTTTCTCCTAACATTTCTGTTATTAAAAGTTATATTAAAATTACTATAGATGGGGCCAGGAGATGGCATAGTGGTTGAGGTGCTGGACTTTCCCTATGACCAACCACGGTTCGAGTCCTGGACCTGGCAGCTTGCTTTCTCACTCCCCCCCGCCCTCACCGTGTGTGTGTGTGTGTGTGTGTGTGTGTGTGTCTGGTGAACTCATGTGAAAAAATAACAATGATAATAAAGTAAATAATTCCTTAAAAAACTGCTATAGACATTTCTTGGTTTTTGTATTTCTGCTATAACAAATCTATGCCAAAGAAAGACACACACAACTTTCATTGATGACCAAATTGTGGAGAGGTGGCAGTAGCCAAGGGTAAAAATAACCAGAAGAGAGAAATATAAGGAGACTTCAAAAAGCCCATGGAAAGATGGAATTAAAAGATAATTCAATTTTTGAAACCCACGTGTATATATTTTATTTTCAGAATTATTTGTCATAGGGTGCATGAGCTGCTTGCCA